ATGGGACCATAAAAGAGTAAACTCTGCTTAGCTGGTACTAAAAGAATTCTGGCTTGCATTACCTGATTGTCTTGATAAGTAGTATGCAATTGTCTTCAAAGAGGTTTTTTTTTTTATGTGAATTCAGATTTTCGTAGACTAGTTTGAATCTGTTCGAACTCTCTTGAAGACCCTTCGCAGATCTGTGAGGTGATCTGTCTTTCTGCTTTTAACTGCGGGATCATCCACGTAACACTGTTTTGGATTGTAATGGTCTGGCTTCTTTTTTTCTCGTAAACAGATTTTCTTGTTTTCCCCTTGTTTTCTTGTAAAGCTTCAATTTCCCATCAATGGAAATTCAAGTTTTAGTTGAAAAAATTGGAAGATTAGTGATTGTTTCAGAGGACTGGTCTCACAGCAACCGAAAATGTAGATGCATATGAACTCATTGGACAACATAAAGCAATGAAGAGGACAAGTAAACAACACAAATGAGGTTTTATTTTACATTCTTCTGCAACCACAACAAACCATGAAGAAAATGTTAAACCCTCACTTTCGACAAATTCTGGCTGTAGGATTTGAGGCACAACAGGTCCATACTTCTTCAAGCTTCCGGTGTCCCGCGCTTCGGCTCAACTGCAATGGCAGCTTTCAGCAATGGAGCATGCGGCCGCAGCAGCAATCGCAGAAAAAACCAACTCCCTCCTCTTGGTGTTGGTTTCTTCCTTGCTGTTGTAGCTGATCGTATTATTTTCGAGTTCTGTCGCCTTTGCGGCCATGGCCTTGGCCGTGGCAGCACCACAGCAGGCGATTGTGGGAGGTTGTTTCGCAATGGCCGCGGCTGAGCCACCGGGATATGAAGCTGTCATTGTTATGGAAGCCATTCCTTGCAATATGAATACTGACTTCCCTCTTGTTTCTGACCTTACACTCTCCTAATCTCAAGAGCATACGAGCATAGAGAGCTGAAAATGTCACTTAAAAAGTGTATCTACCGTAAAGATCATGGGACATAATTTAAAAATATAATTTAGGGACTTAATACATTATGACTATTGGATTGATAGTGTGTTGAGACCCAACGATAATTTAATATTGGGGGGCCCACTGATAATCTAACGGCCACCATCATTAAGTTTTCAAATTACGTCCTACTAGCACTACTATTAAATAAGGTTAATTATGATTCATTTGAGCTCAATTATGACTTAATGGTGTTAAGTTACAATCTAAAAAAATTAGGATAAATTCTAAAACAATAGGATTAATCTCAAATAATCTTGTTTTTGTAATAGTCTTACTTGATTTAGTCATAATCTCACTTTTAATTTGTTTCAACTTTAATATGATATCATAAAATATCACTTTGACACCGTAGTCTTGCGAGAAAAGTAATCTTTAATGCTAAGGTTAATAGTAATGAGTTTTTAATGATAGTTCAACTACGTGATAACCCTCTCATAAAGGGTATATTATAATTTTAAATATCCCATGAACCATAGCTTATTGGGGCCACCGGTCATAATTTACATCCTTGTGTGGAGAGACGATTTTACATAATTTCTAGCATTAATTTCATAAGTGAACGAAAATATAATGATAATCTGCATAGACAACTGTGATAATAAAAAATAATAATAAAAAAACAATCTTGCGAATATAATCCACTTCCTTATCTGAAAAGAGGTTCAACCAAATGGATATTGCCAGGTGTAAGTTTATCTTTCCAAGAACTAGTGGCTCTAAAACCTCCTGAACTCCAGGTAGGTACATATCCGAAGAATATTGTGTCAATTTCTGAGGTTTCAAATTCAAAGAATGTGCTGGAGGTGTTGCTCCCTTCAGTGTTTTCTGGGCATTACTATTCTTCAATGTTTTCTTGTAGAAGCCAATCGACTAATTCTGAACCACTAGACCAACATCCACTTGACTGAGGGTAGGCCAATCAACCAGATCACTACAAAAATTATTATTTTCTACTTAAATGATTCTGTAAATCATCCTAGGGTTTAAATTTGCCTACATTTTATTACACTATTTACCATACTCCTGACTGTGTAACAGATAGAAAAATACTAAATTTCCCTTGAGGTGTTTAATTACATAGAAGTGACCTACAGTGCCAAAAGGTGTAATAGGAAACAATTTTATGTAAAAGTCTTAGTCACCCCATGTATGATTCTCTTGGGTACTCTCACCTTGCCCTCCCCCTTTTTTTTTTCTCTGAGGCACTATTACTAGAGAGGAAAATAACAAGGTTCGAATCCACGATTTTAAGGTTTAACAGTGGATAAGGTTGATCAACCACAAACCATTCCTCCCTCCCCCTTCCTAATGTTTGATGACCTCGAACAAGTGCTCGGAGGGCACGGGATAACCGCAAGACTTTAGATGTTCTACTACTTTTAAAAATTGTTCATCCAAGGAGGTCTACTAAAGAAAAGGACTTACTTTAGCCTTGAAACCCGATTTAAAATTTGTATTTTGAAACAAAAACTAGGACCAAAACTTATGCCTTATAAACAAAAAAAAATATTTTTGTCACCATTCATATCTCATAACCTTCTCCAATATTGACAAAATCATTTTCCTTAATATTAATGCCTAGCATCCTTTCAATCCTATACCTACTACAACTATAACTTGTTAGCCCACTCCTACAGCTCCCATTTAAGACATAATTGCTATGCTTTGATACCAACTTTGTGTCACCCTAAATTAATAAACAGGCGTGATTTGACTAATGACCTTTAAAATTATGAGAGCATAACTAATGATACTATAAAATAAATCAAAACAACAATTTTCAACTTCATCTAACTAAAAACCTCCAAAATATAATCAACCATTAAAAGTTTACATCCCAAAAATCTTAAATAACATCAAATATCTCATCTCTAACTAAATACTAATCATAAACGTTGTCCATCATCAAAACCATTAAATTATAAATTGCTAAATAAATCTCTAAGTCTCAAAAGTCGGATCCACATCTCGATTTGCTTCAATATCCAGATCTGAATTCTCACCTAGGTATATATCCTCCTCAATAGCAAAATCTAAAAAATATTAAGGTATAGTTTTTGAAGTAAAACATGTGATATTATAATGATCTCAAGTTTACGATACATAAACATGTAAATTCATAGAGTAGAACAACTTAGAAAACTACAACATATAACAGACCTCTTGTACACAAGTTGATTAACAAGAATTCACATAATGAATATATCTGGCCCACACATACGCACACAAAATCCTCTAACTAATCCTTTTAGGACCACAATATTTTAGGAAGCATGTATATTGATGCATCAATATTTAACGAAATCTTTGTAGCAATAGTATAGTAACCCACAACATCGACCCACATGAGCGAATAGTGTGAATTTTTGAAACCTCTCAAAAAACTAAATAACTCCACTACAAATGATAGGGAACCTTCAAACCCCTCGGGATAAGAAGCTCATCTAAGCACTATGTGATATAAGTTTGAATACATTCAAGTTCATCACGCCCACCTATACAGCAGATAATATTCATATTTTTCAATAAAATTCACGTGTACCACAAATCATAGCTCTACAATTCTCAAAATAAAGGAAATTTCAATAACATGTAGTAGATCACTAAGAAACATTATCAATTTGACTGTGTTCAAGATTTAGGGTGTTCAAACAAAAAATGTATAATTATATGTAAATCATATATTTTTAAATGAAAATTGATCATACTTTTGAAAGAAATTCAAAAGAGTTATGGATCATATATATTGAGTTGAATCATATTTTAAATATAAATAAGTCTTAGCCCTCAATAAATAGGAAAGAAAAATAAACCTTACCTTGATTCAGCGAAAGCTGATTCTAGAATATCCTACTTTGTTTGCTACGTGCGGATCTCAACAATCGCTGCTCCAACTTCTCTCTTTTCTCCTCTTCTTTCTCTCAAAACTCTCCTAGGCTCCTTAGGGTTAAGAAACATGTATAGAAACCGTAAAACATGTATGTAGAGTATTTATAGGGTCAAAAATGAAGTAAACACTCAAAACTAATTGAGGCTGACTTTAGAGGTGCATCCGGATGCGTATTTTTGCATTTGGATGGACCACACTCACAGCCAGAAATGTCAGAGGCACGTTCGTATGCACTCATTCCCGTCCGAATAGGGTGACTTTCTACCCTAGACTTCCAGTTCAATTTTGATCTAGTTAGAGGCCGATGTATGCATTTTCACGAAATACACTTGTGTAGATCTTTAAGTATACTTTCTAATGTCGCAAGAATCAATTCAACTAGATGTTGAACTTAAAATTTATGGTCAAAAAACTAAAGTAGTCTCAAATTCCTTCCCAATCCGAATACTCTCCAAAATACTTTTAAACCGGAAATAACTCCAAGCTTCTAATAAACCCCATATCACCTGTCCTAAGATTGTTCGATCTCCCGGATTCAATGGTAATGGTATTTTAATCTAAATTCTTTTCAAAAAAATTACCTAACTATCCTTCTCAAAATTTAACACCTTTGAAATTAAATATTGATCTGAAAGTCAATACGAGCGAAATTCAAATTTCATAGATATTCTTTCAACAGTTGTTCATTTTGGTTATCTTAGAATAACTCTTAATATAATATTATTTATATTTAATTATAATATAGAATACTACAATAGCCGAGACTGAATATTACAATAGCCGACTCAATCTCAACTTACACTTATATTAGAGTAAAAAACATAAATGGTCCCTGAACTTTGCATACTAATTTAATTTGGTCTCTGAACTATAAATTGTCCTAATTTAGTTTCTATACTTTAAATTTTGTTTCAATCACATCCTTCTGTCTAGGTAAGATGTTAAACTAAACAGAGAGACCATCACATGTCTGTCACTTGACTCAGTCTTGAGGCAAAATAAGTAGCACAGGTTTATGTTGTTTTGGTGCCTAATTTTCCCACCACTCCATCTCTCTTGTGTAGTACATAAGCTTGTTCCTTCCGCAATGAAAATAGAGCATGGACTGAGGATGAAAATAGAGCATCGACTAGGAACAGAAAATGAGAAAAATGAGATGAAACATGGATATTGTTTGTGATTGTGGGAGAAGGACAGTTATGAAGACATCTTGGACCAAGAAAAACCCATGAAGGAGGTTCCTTATTTGTCACATGGCTATGGTGAGTTTCATTTATCAACACTGTTTAATTTGTTCATATTTATTGCTTAGTCAATTACTCATTTCGGATTTCTTACTCTGTCTGCTTTCTTCAAAATGTCACAATCTGCTTCCCAAGCGTAGGAAAATTATACGGTGTAGTAACTTGGAAAATTTCTAAGGTCGCCTCCTCAGGAACACTCTCTTATTTGAATGATGATGTAGTTGAAACAGAAATGAAAAATACATTTGATTGAGTGGAAAGATGGTGAGTTTGAATTGAGGTAGTAATAGTCAAATGAAAATAGTCAATCAATCCTTGAGAATTATCTTGTCATGAATAAGCTTATTGATCCCCCTTTTTACTCACCCGAGCACATACTCAAATTTACTCGAGTGGAGAATATTCAACAGTACTCACTATAAACTATATGTTACTTTGAAGATAGATAATCAAATCTGTAATGATAAACACATAGATATCAACCTATACCCTAAGCATTTATAGTGTCAACAAATCGTCGACGGTCAATCTAAGTGTATAAATAAACACTAGTTTTCAAAAGTACTTTATATCATCCAAAAAACATACTTCATGGTAAGAACACATTGGAGAATAAACAAAACTTAACCACAAATAAGAATCATCCCTCGGATCACGCCAAGACTTAGCTGAAAACTAAGCTCAT